AATTAATATTTTAGTATAAAAATATTATTTATTTTATATATTATAATAAAATGTTTATTAAAAAAATTTCGTATGCAAAATTTGTTTATTTGTAATTAAATTTTCATTGTTTAATTGATACTTACTAGATTTTAGTTGCATTTTGGGGTTATTTTTCTGTTTTAAAAATTCAAAAGTACTTGAAATATTACTTTCAATAACAAAATAATAAAATTCAAAAATAATGTAATATAGTTTCTTTCGCTCCAATAAATTAAAAATGGAATTAAAAACTAAAGAGTAAAATTAATTAGAAAAAATATTAAATATGTAAAATTACTGAAAATAAAACCTAACTAATTTCATAACCTTCCTGGCGAATTTGATTTACCTAAATTCGACCCAGCTGGGGCGAATCTAAGTCGAATTTAGGTAATTATCAAAAAAAGCTTTAAATTGATGAAAATTTATAAAAATTAGTATTGTGAGGTTCAATGAACATTTATAGAGTTAATTTTTGTAAGAATTTTAATTATTAACGTGATAAATAAGAAATAATCACTTGATATGTGCAAGTGGTAACTGTAGATTTTAACTCGTTGTCAGTTTTCATAATATTTTCAAGAAATTAGTGTAAAATGTGTGAAAAAATAATTTATATTTAATAGAAATTGCAAATTTTATTAAATTATTTCGCTGGGTTAGTGGAAAAAAAGGACACGTCGGATTTTCGTTGAAATAGAGGACACGTCGCGTTTGAGTTGAAGAAAAGGACACGTCGAATTTTATATTTTTTTAAGAAAATTTAAGTTGGTAACACTTTTAAATTCGTCAAATTTATAACTTCACATCATTGATTTCCGATTATCAATTTCTCTACGAAAGGAAATAATAACATTGTAAATATTATGACTGTAATGATTAATGTTTGCTTAATATTGAAGTGGTACATTTCAAAATAATTATGTCAAACAATTTGTGTAATTAAAAATTAAAATATGGAGCGTAAGTTTTTAAACAATGTTTTGAAACTCAACCTTTGAATATTTGGAGTAATTCTTTGTAAATTTTTTCTCAGTCTTCGGAAGTGATAATTTAGATTTGCCACCAATGATAGCACCAATTATACCTACAAGAATAGAAAATATTGACAATTTGCAAACTGAACTTTTAAATGCAAATGATTTTTATAAAATTCGTATTTTATCAGATAAAGATAGTACAAAAGTGCCTAGTAAGTTTTCAATAAGTCTTTAATACATAACTAAATGTTCAGTAAAAATTTGCCAAATTATTATTAATTATTAAATTAAATGTTAACATTGAATTTCATTTATTACAAGTCAATTTTTTATTATTTTGTAGCATATACAGAATCAGGTACGGTGTTTTGCGAACAAATCAAGAATAACTCATTCGATGTATCTGCGAATGTTAATTATACTCATGCTATTCCTTATCCTAACCACGAAAATCATAAAAATGGATACACTTTAAACAATTCTCATGATTTAGCTGGTAAAAATAATCTGATAATTTTAACATGTGTTAAAAACTGACAATTATTAAATTTATTTCTAACATTACATTTTATTCATTCATTACAAGTCAATGTTTAATTTACAGAATCAGATACCATATTTCGTGAACGAATAGAAAATACTGTTTTCGATGTAACTAAAAATGTTAATTATACCGATAACTGCTCCAATGTTACTCTTTTTACTAACTCCGAAAATAATGCAAATTAATTCAATTTAGAAAATTCGAGTGAACCTCCTGGTAATAATACTCTAAACACTTTGCCATTTGGTAAAAAATTGTTAATTATTAAATTTATTTTTAATATTGATTTTCATTCACCGCAAATAAGAGTTTTATTTGTAGCTTTATTAACAGAATCAGACACGGTATCCCATGAGCAAACAGAAAATACTACGATCGATGCAACTGAGAATTTTAATTATACTTACAACTTCTCTGATTTTACTCTTTCTCCTAATCACGAAAGTCATGAAGATGAAATTAGTTTAGACAATTCGTTTGAATCATCTGGTAAGAATATGGAACTTAATAATACTGTATTTTCTATTTTAAAAAATCTGCCATCTTTGTATACATTTTTCTCCATTTCTTTATTAAAAAAAAATTTATTATTTTTAAACAAATTATCATTTGTTAAAATTTTTTTTCATGAAATGTTTTACATTTATCGCAGAATTTCTTAATGTTTAAATTTCATTTGATTTCGTTTATTAATCTTTATTTTATTTAAATAATTTTGTACTACTCACAAAGTTTTAAAATTGTATATATTTTATTGTTGAATATAATATAAATATTTGAGAAGTAATATAATTATAAAACTATAAACTATCTTTGATTTTGCCGATGAATCAGAGAAAACATGGAAGAACATAAAAATTTCACAAGGGTGTGAAATTCAGTTTCTTTCGAATGGGATTATTCATTTTAGCTATGATTATAATAGAGATGTTCAAACAACCAATATGCCGAAGAATAACAACGAATTATTTCTTTATTGTTCAGAAACTTTAAATTAAAAAAATTTAGTTACTTTATATATGACGATGCTTAGAAATATAGAAAATAATAATAAAAATTGTTCTTTCATTTTATGATGTAAATATTTGTCTTTTATATTTAAGTTTTATTTCCTACAATCAAAATATATTTTATCAATTTACACATAAACGACCCGAAAAATTTTTAAAGTTATAAATTTTTTGCTGCATATACATCTTTCATCTTTTAATAAGGATAATTATAATTTTAATTTTTGTATTAAACAAAAATATTAATTAAGATAGAATTACAAGGTTAAATTTTCAATATTATAATTAAATTTTTAACCATTCTAACCAATATAATTTGTTTCAGTAAAGTGATAAATAAATAAATATTTAAATGTCAACCTCAAAAAAAGTGTTACCAACTTAAATTTTCTTAAAAAAATATAAAATTCGACGTGTCCTTTTCTTCAACTCAAACGCGACGTGTCCTCTTTTTCAACGAAAATCCGACGTGTCCTTTTTTCCCACTAACCCAGCGATTTTAGGTAGAATTTAGGTAATTCAAATCCGCCAGGGAATTGCATTCTGATATCGTTTTTTCAATTACATGCACTCTGCATTGTATTGAGCTGTTGTACCAAAATCAAAATCAATGTTTTTAAAAAAATTTTTTGCCCACTCAAAGAAACTTTTAGGTGTCGTTATCTGATTTTCAACATGACGTTGGAGGCTAGCTTTTTTCGCATAACATTTAATCGTCCCATTTAAACCGTCAGAAGGCCCTTTCTCATGTGAAGTGACAAAGAAATGCCATTTAACTGTAATGCCAAACATTTTTTCGTAATTAGCAACAGTAATGAAATTATATTTATTTTTGTATTGAGAACCAGCTCCGTCTGAAAAAATATCAGTTTTTTAACATTTTGCTCCCCATAAATATTTCTCAGATACGACAACATTTTTTTGTTAAATAAATTGACGGCTATCGAATCATGTGTATTACACTCCGAAACAACAACGAAATTGTGATGTTTTAGCTTATTATCATCACTTCGGTAATATATTACATAGCGGATAAATTGTAACTTGGCTATTATTCCAGTGATGCGCCTGAATTGCATCCTGTACGATGTAATTATAATTTTCAGAAAAATCTAGAGTTACAATAAATATTACGTGTCCAATCGAGTCTTTTAAACTGTTTAAGTGATTCGCTTGTGCCGTGGCAATAAAATCATGCTTTGAAAGAGACTTTAAATCATCGTCCATCGCCTCGAGGAAGTCCTTAATCGCTAATGTTTCAATTGTTAATTTAGCCCTAGAATTTTATATTATTTAATTAATTTACGTGAATCATTATTTTAATAAAAATATTTTTTTATGATTGATAAAAAATGAGAAATTTAGTTGAATATTTTTTCATAAATAATTTTTTTAATTAATTGAAATTCGTAATTCAAAGAAACAGTTACATTTATAATTAAATTCTTTAATTTTATTCCAATATATTGGACTCATGAAATGATGTACGAATCGATTCGAGGAATGGATCAGGGGTCCTATTCTCGAAATCAATCGAATATTGTTCGTATGCGAGCAAATTCGGTGGGTAAGTTTCGTGCACGAAGCAAGAACCGTATTCTCGAGGACCTTTCGAAACTTCTTTCGACGACCGTTCGTAGACGAATAGGTTGTACAGTGTTGCCGTCGTTTATTTCTAGTGAATTTCCAGTGTCATTTTTTTGAACCAATGAAATTACTTCGACATGATATGACTATGGCAACACATGTGCTTGATGAACGCTGTTTTTTGTGCTTTGTTTTGTGTACATAGGTAAGTTTAATAATTTAATACAAATGAAAGTAAGGAATTATTTCTTTAAAATCAATGATGAAAGTGTAAGTGATAAAATTATTTATCACTCTATTCATTTAAAATACAACAACAATAAATTAGCTCATAATTCTATTATTTCAATATAACTCCAAAATTACTTAACCAATAATCTGTTATTTTTAACAGAAATGTTGCAGTAAAATTTTACTTAACAATTTTCTTAAAAATATGAAATTGAGAACATAACCTTCAGTTTGTTTTTTATTTGTTTATGTTGTAAAAGAATCATTACAATAATTTTTTAAGTGTACAAATGTATTATTATTTTTCTGAATGATATTTCTTGTGACTATAATTATTTATTTTGACAGGAAAGGACATTTTCCGGTTAAAGAAAGTGTTATGAGAAAATGTTTTGAAAGCTGATCGGCAACTTAATCCTATAACGTGAATTACAACTGCTGTGTATTCTGCCGTAAAATCACACAAGTAAGTAAATAATAAGCAATGAAGTTTAATAATTGTTATAATATAAGGAAATCTTTACTTTATTATTTTAAATTACTTTTTCTTTTCAACATTGCATACAGAAATGTTTTTTTATTTTTACACACTTCATTGCTTTTTTCGTATAATAGGTGTTTATCACTATGGCGGATGCAGAAAAGAGAAAAAGATGTGGAAACATATCGCAAGAACAAAAAGATGTACTAATCTCATTTGTAGCTTCAAATGAAAAGTTAAGAAACAAAAAATTCGATGCATCTTTCACTTATCAGCACTCTCAAAATCTGTGGAAAGATATTACGAAAGAATTAAATGCGATACCGAATGGCTCTCCGAAAACTTGGGACAAATGGCGAAAAAGTTGGCAAGATTTAAGATGTAATGTGAAGTCAAAAGTTGCTAAAGAGAAAAAACATGCTACTGGTACGGGGGGTGGTAATAAACTGCAGCTATTAAACAATAGCGACACAGCTGTCTTAAATTTATTGTCACAAGTTACGGTCGAAGGAGATCCACAAGTCGAGGAGGGAGATGTTTCTTTTTCATTCGGACACAGCGTTGAGTATTTGGAAGATGATGCAGATTTTGATGAAAGTTTAGGGCCGACCATTCAAAATCAAGCAATAATTAGAAATGATTCGAATGAACTGGCGGTAGTAGAACCTCCTACAGTAGGAAATGCCCGTCTTTCAGCAACTAACTCAGTTGGTTCGCGAGAAACTCCTCCGAAAAGTTCAACTAGCAATCGAACACGCATTTACAAGAAAGATGAAAGATTTGCCGAAACAAAAAATTTCACATCAAAAATAGCAAATACCGGGGAACAAGATTTAAATTTAAGAAGCGATTATTACACAGCAAAGTTGAAGTTATTAGAACGACAAGTCGCTGCGTATGAGACAATTGCAAATATTTGCTCAAATGCCTTCGTAATATTAGAGAAATTTGCTACTGCATGGCTGCCTTCTAATATGGAAGTACAACACGATGACGAAGACTTAATATTTGAGGACATTGAGGGCTTCGATTAGTAAGTTATGAATTATTTATAGGTAGGTAAAATTCCAAATATATATCATCAAATTTTGGTGTGCGTTAATTGAATAGAATTTCATTAAACTAAAAAAGTATGTTGAGTATATTATAGTTTCATTTATGACATACTTTGAACCAAATAGAAATTATAATACATATTATATCTTAATATTAACATTAAACCAAATACTTCATATTGTTTTGTATTGTTTTGTTATAAAGATTACTCTAATTCTAAAAAATGTTAGTATACTTGATATTGATGTAGGATATGTGCCTCAGAAGTGTTAATTAGTAAAATAATTTTTTTTAAATATTAATTACAATGAAAGTTTACGTTGAAGTACATGTGATATGTGATTGAAAATGTATGTTGCCGAAATTTGTAAAGAACATAACATTTACAACAAGAAAACGAGCTGTGAATTCGTTACGATTGTTTCAAAACGTGATGTGTATTCGTTAAGTTGTTTAAGTTATATTAGTTAAAAAGACTACATTATTATAAATTAAAGTTTGCCTTTTAAGAAGGTATTAAATAAGAAACTTGGAAATCTAACTACAATTATGTACAACATATATTTATGTTATTAATTACAATTAAATTATAATCAAATTTTTGTGCTTTTAACAAATGACTATATTTTGTTGATATGACTTCAGAAATTTATAATAAAAAATAATGAGCTGTATATTGTAACCTAGTTTATTACACAAGTTGTCACCTATTTTTTTTTTTATAAACTTAATGTAAAAATATTAATTAAAGTGACGTTCAATCAACCTTCTTCGAAAAGCACGACCTCTTGCAAGGTCAATATTTGTGTGTAATCGTCTGGCATCGGCGTATATTGCTCTCAATTCGTGATCTGTTGGAGGATACATTCCCAAATCTCCAATTTCTACATCTTCACCTTCTAAAGGTGGTATGTTATGATGAATGCACATGTTGTGAAGTACTGTACAGGTATTAATAATTCTTGAAGCCACGGTTGGAGAGTAATGCAGTACTCTATGTTTCAATAAACATCGAAATCGAGTTTTTAACACTCCGTTACATTGTTCTATAATAGAGCGGGTAGTTTTAAATCTATTGTTAAATCTACTTTCAGGAGTATTTGGTTCAACATGGTTGATTGGCGTCAAAAACCAAGGTCTTAATGAGTAACCAGAATCACCTAATGGAATGGAAAAGAAATATAATTTATGTTACATAAAATATTATACGAAACACATACCTATTACAAAGTAAGTATGCCCCTGTTCATGCAACTGCTGCAAAAGTGGTAAAACATTGCTATTTTGCCATATAAAAGAGTCATGGGTACTTCCTGGATATCGGGCATTTACGTGCAATATTCTCATGTTGCTATCGCAGATCTAAATTAACAAAAATTATTATTAGATAATATAAGTTATGTAAATATTTCGTAATTATAATTATGTTCAATTCATTTTACCAATTGAGTATTGATCGAATGGTAATTTTTCCTGTTGACGTAATCATTTTCGGGATATAGAGCATTAGCAATATTTGGTGGATAAATAGCCACGTGTGTTCCATCCACACATCCCACAATTCCTGGGAACCCGTATTTTTCATAAAACCTGAAACATAAAAATTACTCCAAATTTTATATACATTTTTTTTTTGCAAAATGTCACTCGAAATTTTTTATTATTCTTATAACAATCTTACCCTCCTCGAACAGTGTTTAATTCATCGAAATTTCGCGGAAAGTGAATCCATTCCTGGAAAATATCTCTTGTATTGAAAAATTGCGTAACATCGTTTATGCATCTGCTGACAGAGGGTTGAGAAATATTTGAAAAAATGCTTTTCCCTATATCCATTTGATAACTGCCCGAAGCAAAGAACCGCAATGCTGTTAAAACCTATTTAAAATTGTAAAATCCCAAAATTTTTGCTTTATATTCATATCTTATATTATGGAAAAGTATTACTTCATTAATTACTGGATTACTAATTTATATACAGATTATGCAATTGTAATAAACATACAATTTTTTACAATCAACATTGACTTATAATGAAAGGTCCTTTAATATTACTTTTGTAGAAACATCAATTGCTGAAACTCTTCTTTGTGGTACAAAATTTTCCATTCCATCAATTATATTGTCCACCATTTCTTTATTAAGACGATAAATTTGAACAAATTGATGATCGGGTAATTCAAAAGGATCCAATGGACGACGAAATTCTTGTCGTGCGAATTCTGCATCTCGTTCAACATCCCTAAGAAAATCCGCAACAAGAACATTGGCAAATGGCCGTATTCCTAAATTCATCCTGTATGATATAAGAAATATTTATTAATAGCATCATCATTACTATTAATATTATTAATATTACTATTATTATTATTATTCTCATTGTTATTATTAATTATTATTATTATTACTATTATTATTATTATTAATATTATTATTATAATAACTATTATTATAATTATTATTACTGTTATTATTATTGAAAATCTGTAATTAATTTCACATACAATACGCATAAACCAAAGAAAAATTAATAAATGTAAATATCATTTCATTTATTGATAAAGATAATTAATGAAAAATTTATTTCAAATTTTTAATTTTAATAACTTTTTAATTATTACTTCACATTCCTTTTACCTTTATTTAAGTTTTTTGTGGTTATGTAGGTTTAAATTTTTTTTTATCTACTATCGGATCAAATATAAACGTCCACGTCAAACTTACCTTATATTTAGAAATTAAATGAAATTTAACTTATAATTATTTACACTTCTTACACTTATAACAATTCGAAACTTTGAATCACTTATAATAAGTGTACGTAATATTATTAAAGAATACTACTGCGCATGAGCAGTACCAAACTTCGAACACGAAACTGTTGCTTCGAGTGGTTAAGACCACTCGTTGCATTTCAATCGAATCGTTTCGTCTACGAACGGCTAGTGAACAGTTCGAGAATACAGTTTTCGACAAAGTCCTTCGAAAGTCTTCGATTCGTGCACGGAACTAATTTCGAGAATAGCACCCCAGGTCCGGGCCAGTTCTGACAGTTCGAAAAATAACAAGCTGGCGTTGGGTTTTCGCAAACCATTTCTTGCAATGTATAAACGCGCCATTGAAGCCATTCTTCGAGAAACATTCAATTCTTTTTGAATTTTTCGAATGCTATAATCAATAGGCAAGGTAGTTAATAGCATAATTTTTACTCTTCTATAAAGGGCCTGCGATAGAGCAAATCGCATATCGTCATTTTGTTTCAACTCAACGTCTATTTTTGCTAGTCCCACATCAGAAATTTTTAATTCACCTCTTTTATATTTCACTGGTTTTCCCTCTTCATTTTGAGAAAGATTATTTGGTAACCTTTTTAATTCCTTATATGTCGGTTGATATAGAGGTTCACATGATTCATTTTCAGTATCCGAATTTTCATCAGAAGTAGTTTTGATTTTTTCAGGCGCAGGAACGTTGGGTACTTGTATTGGTTTCGCAGGATTATTTCTCATAACTAATAGTCTACATGAATCGCATACATATTTTCCAATCAAATTAGAGAAAACTGCACTCCAATGTTCGGTTACTTGTTTCAGAGCTTTGTATATGCAAGAATGTTTTTTTCCCGCAAGGATTACAACACTTATTAATAGGCACCATTTTTATGAAATAACTGTTAAATTATTTTTAACAATTTTAAATTACATGCATGTCACGATTTACTTAAAATTCTGATAAATTTTTTAGCGACTAAAACTATAAAAGACATTTACGTGTAAGTATAAAACTCGACATTCATTTGTTTTCTATTTAAAACAAAAGAACATCTATCACCATTGCACCTATGCAAAAGCGAAAGTAAATTAAAAAATATGTTAATAATATTGTTTTTAATTCCAGAAAAACTAAACATTATAAATAAATAATAAATGTTTTTTTACTTTTGAGCCAAGTGGCTAAAATAACAATGTGTCGAATATGTACTGCCTTAAAAAGTTTTATTTAATGTAAAATATACATATTATATAAATTCAATCAAAAATATCAAGAAAATAAATTATTAATAAATAATTATCAAGTTCACTTTTTTATTTATTGTGTCTGTTGACTATAGTTTACCATTGAAATCTGTACAAACATGTAGCGTAAAACTAGTGCGCACAGGTGTGATAGGTCCATGCTTGCGCGACCCAAGTATATCATTGTACCGCTCTGCATAGCGACAGTTTTTAATTGACAACTTTTTTTCTAATTGAGTGTTATTTTTTTCTAAACGGTTTTATGTTCAGAAATAATTGAGGAATACAACACAATTTTTATTTTTTCGTTAGGACATGAAGAACACAATATTTTATTAACATTTTATAAACAAACAATATAAAAAAATATTTAAAAATAAAAATTTTTCAAAACAAAAATTATTTTTGAAAACTACAATTCAAGAGGAAAAAAACCCTTTTTTGATTTTTAAATCGGTCAACTGGAAATCGAGAAAAAAATTTTTTCATTTAAGACTGCTAAAAAATTTAATTGTTTATAACTTTGCCAAAAACTTTTTTTTACTCTAAAAATTTCAGAGATTCTGTTTGACCATATAAAGAATAAAGAAAAAATATTTTTGGTCAAAAAAAAAATTTTTTGGTTTTAGGTGATCCGTTTGGGAAATTCTGACCCTATACATTTTTTTATGAAAATAAGTATTTTCCTAAATAAATAAAAAAGGATATGGTGGCCTTAAAAATGGCCGATTGATAATATGTTGCAAAATACAACGATTTGGTGGCCTTGAAAAAGCCCTATTGATAATATTGCAAAATACAACGGTTTGGTGACCTTAAAAAAGTCCGATTGATAATATTGTCCATTTTTTTAGTTTTTGTGACCAAGGTAAGAAAGTTTAATATCCGAAATTAATTGCGAAAATGCATTAGCATTTAATTTGCGAACTCTTCACCGCCATAAAAACTCACGAAGGAGATCTGCAAGATTAGTTTTGTGAACACCTCCTTTGTTGAGAGATCGTCGCATCTATCTCCAAGACGATTCAATATTTTGAGTATGGGCACCAGTAGTGGAGTCTACAAATTCCTCGAAATGATTCACAGTTTTGTGAACGTAGCCACACTGTTCCAAGCAATGTAGACCTTCCAGCAATCAGTATGGATCTCTGTTCCGACAATATGTTTTTTAATCAAATTTATTAAAGTATTTTTGTCTCGTTTGGTGTCCTCTGTGGATCATTCCAAGGATCCATGCACCCTCTACTATTCGACCTCTCATATTTTCAACGGCCGATTTTACATTCGTCGATTTTAACGATTTTTCCTGGACCTACAATTGGACCCTCTTCAACGAAGAGAATCGATCTGCAATAGTTTCGGACGAAATATTTTGACCTTCAACAATACTACTCTCTCGAATAGTTTGTTGAAAGTCAAAACTCATAGAAAAGCAATATGTCACTATCATACAAAACGCCGTAGAGATGTGGCGTTCTTCGAACCACGTATTCTCTGCGACACTATGACGGTGACGATATTTGCCTTTCTTTTGACACATGAACTGACCACAAGTGAATATTGACTCATTCAAAGACATATTCTTTTTATGTTTTAAACAAAAACGTTCACTTGGGATATGTTCAATGTGACGTAACCATTGACTCATTCAAAGACATATTCTTTTTATGTTTTAAACAAAAACGTTCACTTGGGATATGTTCAATGTGACGTAACCATTGCAGCGTCGATTCTCTTTTTTAGAAAATGGAACTTAAAAAAAATATTATATTTTCGCTCTATATTTCCAAAAACGCACGTCTGTCAATGAAATCAAAATGAATTATTTGCAGTTCACGCAACACAATGTCAGCGGTCTTCACCCGCTTAAGACCCCAAGCAGCACGGTATATTTCCTGAATATCCCTTGAATACCACAGTGGAATATCCTCATGATCTTCTAGGAAAATCAAAATGTCCGCATCATGGGAATATTCCACAATGACATTCAGGGTATATTCCAGTGACATTGAGGGAATATTCCTCGGTGACATTCATGGAAAATTCCAGTGACATTAAGGGGATATGCATGGAATATTCCAGTGACATTAAGGGGATATTATGGTGATATTCATGGAATATTCCAGTGATAGTAAGGGAATATTCCACGGTTAAATTGAATTTTTTTAAATGTGTTTTTAATGTTTATGCTTATTCAAATAACAATTTATAAGGGTAAAAATAAAAAAATCGTCAATATTAGCCTATTTTTTTAATTAAAATAAAATCTTTGAAATGAAAAACAAATTAAAAAAATTTAAATCTGGGGACAAGTGGAAAATTTTTTATATTTCGCATTTAGTGTTATAAAAATACGTACTACTTTCTTACATTACATTTTATACATTGGAGAACACGTACACAAAAAGAAATTTTAATTTAGATAATAAAAAATTGATTTAAAATTTTTTAAAATCTTAAAATGTAAATAGGGACAGAAGACACGATGACATTTTTAAGCATTTCTACGATTTTATACCTGTTGTAAGAAAAAATTAAAATTATATAATGGGGTAGCGTAGAAAAAAACATACTCTGCAAGATGTTAGTATTTAAAATCATGAACTTTTAAAACTCAAAGTATTATTTATTCAGGACAAGATTTCAACGATTTTTTGATTTTAACCCATTTCCAATATTCCAACACTTTAAAAAAAATTCAATATAACCGTGGAATATTCCCTTAATGTCAGTGGAATATTCCTTTAATATTACCCGCAATGTCACTGGAATATTCCCTGAATGTCACCGTGGAATATTTCCATGAGGCGGACATTTTGATTTTCCTGGAAGATCATGAGAATATTCCACGGTGGTATTGAAGGGATATTCTGGGTATATACCGGGCTGCTTGGGACACTACTCTTTTCAAATTTAAAGAAATAGCAAAATGGGGAGGATATAGCTGAAAGTATCACTTTTGGTAAAAAAATGTATAAAATATAAAATGTGTATTTTTACAAGATCTACAACTTTTATAACATTTTTCGAAAATTTGCATTTTTACAAGTTAATCGCAAAAAACCATGATTTTATAGTGTTTCTTATGATTTTTACCATGATAATCAAATTTGCGCCAATTTTCACCATCATTTTGGTAATCAACGCGCTAAAGTACGTTAGTATACCAAGATTTATTAAAATTGGAGGTACTTCTACTTCGGAAATACACCCAGATATTTTTGAGACTTGAGAAAAATGTTTATTCTAAATAATATCATTAAAAACAAAATTTCGTAC